GCTAGCCCTGAAGCTAAGAGTATAATCAGTGCAACGACTGACAAACATTTCAGGTGGTGATATTGACGTTGTCGACAGGCGTTTTAGCGGTTTACTAGGATTGTGTCTGTTGCTCTCGGCTGTTGTCCAGCTGGTGACGTCAGTAACTTTAGGCTCATTTTGTAACTGATGACTGTAACTTGAGATTGTATGGACCCAGTAGACCGAGTGAATACACGTCGATCGGTTCACCATGTTGTTACCACTTTACATTACTGTTAGGAGATCAGCCATGAATGAAAGTGAACTAGGTCTTTACATTTCTCAGGAGATTTCATCATCCCTCTGTCTTTATCAGGACCTGAGCCAGTACAGATGCTTTGTTATGTATTTTACAGTATATCCATATTTGTTGGTTATATAGTGTGTGTACATTGAATTCTTATCACACCTTTAGTTGTTTACATGTCATAATATTCATACTGTATTTATTTTTGCATATTCATATCTATCCTCACAATTCATTATACACACACAACAGACATAACATGTTTGAATATAAAGAACTTGTATGATCTAAACAAATGGTCCTATCACATGTTTGTCTGTATCAGGACCAGAAGTCCAGTCTAATCACCAGTGATGGACCAGCACCTGCCTTTTCTTCTGCATCCGGCCTCATCAACCACATTACATCAACACCTTGAGGTATGATCCCTGTACATGACAGATATTGCCTATACTGTGATCTTTTGCACATCTTGCCCAGCAGGAGTTTTGTCATTCTAAAACACTTTTGTACATAGTTGTGTGGTATCATTTTCATTGTTTTATTTTTTTTTTTATCTTTATATATTTATATTTGAGTGTTGCAGTATTTTACTTTTATTTCCTATGAATACGTTAATTGGATACTACACCAATCCAAATATCTTGTCAGTGAAAACCTACCTGACAATAAACCTTATTTCCTGAATCTGCCTTTGTGATGATGTCGTCATCCCGTCCTCATGCTGCTGTAGCCTGCCCAGGCCCCCCCATGTGTCCTGCAGTGTGCCCATGCCTTCATTAACCTGCAAGTGTGTGACACTGAGGTTACAAGTAGAATTTAAATTCCGGTGTGAAAATAGGATCTAAATTCTACTTGTAACCTCAGTGTCACAAACTTGCATGAATTTTGAGCTTTGTATGTGTTGACAGATGTTGACAGAAGCTCTTCCTCTTTTAGTGTCTTTGTGTCGCCTCACCACTAATGTGTTTTTTTTTTTGTTTTTTTTTAAATATATGAATAGAAAACTTCTTCAAGTTCTTCACATGTACATGTCTCATTTGTTCAGATTTAGTCATAGTCCTGTTTTTATTACAGTATATGCTTAATGAGGTTTAAGTGGATGATTGATAAATCTTTTATGTTCTGAAGTCCTGATAATGCTTCAGATACATTTCATAGTCAAAAGAGGAGCTGCTAAACATGTCCTTATTTTTCCTTCTGTTATATATGTCATGTGACGGCAGAATCCACCTCAGGCAAGAACCACATTTTGCTGTCGCTGAAACCAGCAAGAAATGGTAAGTTATGCGCCTGATGATTTAAACTACAAAATGCTAAAATGATATTCTCTTATTACATTTAAGTTGTCATCATCACGGCTGCATCAGAAAACGACGTGGATGTGATTATTAATATATTTGGCTTGAATGTTACAATCAAAATACTTGTTTGGAAACTTGCTGTCTCTGATTTGTTGTTAAGGAACTTAACTTATAGTGATGGAGTAATGAGGAACTACCCTGTAACAACTGTTTATCACTTCACTGACCAAAGCTCTACAAATACTAAACTACCAGTTAAAGCACAACCTGTTTTATGCTCAGAGATGTTAATTAGTGAGCAGATATTTTTAAAAACAAAACTGTTGTTACTGTAACTGTACGTGTATCCAGGCTCAAATTGGAGAAATTCAAGTTTGTGCATGTGAAAACAAATTGTGGTTGCGGCAAAGAGATTGAAATTTCTCCTGCAGATTTATTTTACAGGTTTACAAAGGTTGATTTACAACTACAAACATTGGAATTATTTGTGAACATCAATTTATAAGCTCAAAATCATTTTGAGCCCAAGGCTAAGTCGAGGGCTAAGTCGTTCAGACAAGGCTGCAACTGGGGGCGCGAGCTAGCCGCCGGGTGGCAAACACACAGCCCAGTAAAGTCTAGGCAGGTGAACTTTGGTCTTTAAGGTCTTTTGTGCGACAGTTTAACTGACTTTAAGTGATTCCTGAAGTTTAACAATAAGATAAGGAGAAAACCTTCAAAACTTAAATGAATATTTTAAGGAAACCTCAAGGAGAAAACTTGAAGGTGTTTTGTGCAGCTGTTTTTATTTTAAGTAAACATTAACTCAGACTTTAAAGAAATCTAAACTTAGAAGAATCACAGAATCACAGTAGATTTTCCACGTATAGTTTGACTGATTTCTACTGAATTGCTGCTGTTGTAACTGTGGATTCTTTTCTAGTTTTTTTTTCAACTCTGTCATCTTTACTTCCTTTTTTCTTACAGTTCCCAGAAACTGTGAACCTCAGCTGTAGTTTATTGTAAACAGTAGAAGAAGACTCAAATCTCAGTGTGTTCTGTTGAAACGAGTTATCACAGAAGAAAACTACCTCAGCTGTTTTCACTACGAATCAAATTAAATAAAGAAAAATTAGAATGTAAGTGATTCAGTGATTCTAACTCCAAATACAGTCATTGATTTTTCTTTAGGAATAAATCCTGCTTCCTGTTGCACTGCAGAAGAATTTGTTTAGTCAAGTTTACATGATGATTGTACGGACTTCAGCTGCAACTCTAAAAATATAAATGTAATTACAAATATACAGATAAATAGTTGTTTTTCATGTTTTTGTCCTCCCATACAGAAATGTAATATATTACATATATGTCCGTATATCAACTGTTGCCATATATGTCACCTGTATTTTTATCACATGTATACAACCTCTGGATATATGGAGATATAAGTTCATCACATATATGAAAAACTAACTAAAATTTGTATGTGTACATATTCTAAAAATATCTATATGATGAATTTTTGGTATTGTGACCATATATGTTAACAATATATTGAATTAAATATTTAATTTATATATGCAGATTTATGAAAACAGCATACATATAAAAATTCTATATGCTTATGTATGTTTTTCATATTCATTTTAAACATGTCTGTCTTCTCATTCTCAGACTTTTGGACTCTTCTGTTTATAATATAATATATGTACTGACAGGCCTTGGGATGGATATATATTTACACAACACATGTCTATAATAGAAGCAAACATATAAACATAAGCTGCATATTTGTATGGGCTAAATATATGTCAATGTTTGAAATGATTGTTATTATTAATTTTTACATATGTGTTTATTTTATATGCACATAAATGTCATATATAGAAATTCAATATATATACATTTATTACATTTGCATGTGGGCTGGTTTTTAAACTTCACTGGTTTTAAAAACAGTTAGAAGAAGCAGAGCCGGTCTCTGGTCTGATCATCTGGTTGTCATGGTGAATGTGACGCTCAGAGGTCAGAGGTCAGAGGTCCCTCGCGTGTCAGCAGGCTGAAGAATCTGAAGAGTCTGTTAGTAACTCTGGACATTTCTCATGTCGTCACCTTCAGCGGTGACATCACTTCCTCCTTCAGTCAGAGCTGACGGACAGAGGAGTTACAACTGTAAGATGAGTGATGACTGATGTGAGTCAGGGGGAAAATAAAAGTTAAAAGAAAAAACAAAAAGAAAAATATTCGACAATACAAAGGTTCAGTTTTAAGTAGATGATTTTCAAAATAAAACCATCACAACAGTCATTATATAACTGTTGTATAACTGTTTTCTTCTTTTCCCAGATTTGTTTCAAACAGCATCATTACTGTCGATCCACTTGTATATTTATATATTGATATAAATGTACTTGTATAATCCATATGTGTGTATGTATATGTCAGTGTGTGGAGGTAGGAAACTGTGTCTAATTGCCGTCTTTGTTTTAGTGTACACAGCCAGAGGAGTCTTGCGTCATCGCACACACGCACACAGAGTGAGGGGCCCCTTGTCAACAGAGGTTGAAAAAGAGGAAGTGCAGGGAGGAAGCGATGTGGATGATAACAGGGTGGGTGAGGAGAAGAGAGACAGCGCCCCCTGCTGGAGGAGACAGTGATGGACAGAAAAAGAAGAAGAAAAAAGAAAAGACATCAGCCTGGTTTTATCAGGACTGACGAGTGTCTGGATAGAAAACGGTGAGAACGACAGGACAGGATGGAGGGATGGAGAGAAAAGAAGACTGGTCTCGAGCAGGAACTTATCAAATTAAAAGCATGACAGAAAGAAAGTAAGAAAGTGAAGAACTTTACCGTCATCACTTCACTCAGCTCTGGAGAGGGAGGAGAGGTGTGAAACTCTGCTGCCCTCTGCTGGTGAACACACAAACACACACATATATATATATATATGTATATATATACATATACATATATAATATATATAACAGTTAAAATTTACAAATCACAAACTAATTGCTAATTAATGAATTTGCCAAATATTTGAAATAAATAAAGATGAAAGTCAGGAACTGATCTAATTCATCTAATTTAATACATTAATCTTATTTGTTAATTGAGCTTTTATAGTGAAGGCGTTTTAGATCCCCCCCCCCTTTCAAAATAAGAGCTCTCTGGTGTGTTTTCAGAGGTGAACAGTTAAAAATATTTTCTGTGACTTGTAGTTTTACAGTGTTGAAAAGTTCAACACCTGAAACTAACGGTTCTAGGCTTCGATAGGGAGAACAGTCCTGTCCGCCCTCCGTAGGGCCCTTCATAGGGCCCTTCTGCAGAGTTCCTCCAACTTCTCAGATGTCAGACACTCAGGGGGCTCATGTTGCTTCCTCCTCCTCCTCCTCCTCCTCCTCCTCCTCCTCCTCCTCTTCGGAAACGGGATGTGATGTAAATACACAGCAGCTTTTTTTGTTCCTCTCTCTGGAGTGAGCACGGCTCCTTCTCCAAACTCTGCGGAGGGAAAAGTGGAAGAAAAGGACGGAAAAGAGGAGAAATAAGGAGCTCGGAGACTCATCAGAGACACGGGGAGCGTTAGTTTTCTCCATCATGATCCTCTGAACTCCTCCGTCCGTGTGTCTGTCTGTCTGTCCCCGACAACAACCTCACGACCTGCCGGGACTGGGACTCCGAGAAAAAACGGATCGAACCGGAGGGAAGCTCGCTGCTGTTGTGGATCCGGAGGGAACCTGCGGACAGGTAAACAGCTGACAGTCCGCGTGAGTGTGTGTGTGTGTGTGTGTGTGTGGACCGGGTGGAGGAGGAAGGTGAAGCCGGGGGGGGGGGGGGGGGGGGGGGGGGGGGGGGGGGGGGGGGGGGGGGGGTTGAGGGCATGACAGCAGAGCTGGGGTCAGTGGTGGAGCTGCACGCTGAGGCCTAGACATGACAACAGCAGAACTCTACTGCTGATTAAATAACGAAGCATCAAATCTAAAGTCACAGAAAAGAAATGAGCTGCCAAACTTTCTGGTCTGTGAGAATATTATCGAATTATTATGATATTAAAGGATAAAGACACATTAAAAGACAGAAAATAAACATCCTGTATGTCTCTGTCAACAGTGACGATATGTAACTATAAGGAGATATATCATTATCACATACACACATCCTCTGGATACAAGCTTATAACATATATGAAATACCCAGAGTAAAATTATATATATGTACATATCTTAATAATATCTATATGATGATTTTTATATGGTAAAACAATATATATATATATAATTGATATATGCAGCATATAATATAGAAATTGTATTTCCTTAAAAATATGATTAATTTCTCATTAATTTTAAACATGTCTTCACATTGTGGGAAACTGTATTGTAACATGCTGTATTGTATTGTTTGGGATGGATGTATATTTATGTAACATACAGTATGTCTACAATATAAACATACATATTGTACATAAACATACATGTTATTATGGGCCAGACATACAGTATGTGTCAATATATGAACATTTCCAATAGGTTTTATATATTATCATTTCTACATAATTTCATATGTGGAAATTCAATATATGTACATATGTTGCATTTGTGTATTTTATTATTTAATATTTATTGTTAGGATTTTAAAGTTACAACATAGAACAGGATTAATAGCAATTAAATTCATGTGCATCAGTATAAAATAACATAAGACTAAACTTTATTAATCCCAAATGATGATGATGTGTGATCGACACAGGATTCTGTTTTCTCCTTCGACAAAAGCGACAAATTTAAAATGTGTGTGTGTGTGTGTGTGTGTGTGTGTGTGTGTGTGTGTGTGTGTGTGTGTGTGTGTGTGTGTGAGAGATACATTAAGAGTCATAGTTGGCTTGTTTTCATGCTCAGTTTCCTGGGTGAATCCTCCTCTCTCTCTTCTTCTTCCTCTTTTTTCTTCTTCTTCTTCTTCTTCTCTTTCTTCAGGGCAGTGAGGTCTCATGTGGTCACTGTCCCTTTCTTCTTCTCTTGTCTATGAGACGTGGTTTGAGGAGGAGCCGCAGCACGGTGTGTTATACTGAAGAGAGTTTCTGATCGTTCTTTAGAGACCAAATCAATAATCTGATCATTAATCAATAGAAGAAGAGTGTTATTACGACCAGGACAGTTCACGTGTGTTGCACTGAAGATGATGTCACCATAGCTTCATATGTCGTCGCCATAGCAACAACGGCACGTTGAGGGGGAACTATCTGCGGTGGGAAAGAAGAACCTGGAATCAGTTGAGTCGGCGCCATGTGATGGTAAAACTTTAACAGTGTTGATGCTGAAGTTATTTCCCATATTGATCAGTCAGTATCGATCAGTATTGATTAATAGCTTCAATCCCACATGTCAGATATTCTCTGGTGAGAGGATCAGGTCAGGACACTGAGAGTCTTTGGGTTTCAGACGGTTTCTTTCACATTTGAAGACGTCGCCGTGCATTGTGGGAAATTGTGAGGCTGTATTTCACCACTGTCTGACATTTTCTGATAACTGAACAATCAATAACAAATACTGAAACATCAAAGGGATGTTTGTGACGTCAGCTGTCTGTGATGGAGTCACTGATGTTTGTGACATGAAGCAATAGAAACTGATTTACTGTCGAACCAACTGATTTCACAACAACAGCAGCAGCTCAGTGTTTGGCTTGGACTGTGAGAGCTGTGTGTGTGTGTGTGTGTGTGTGTGTGTGTGCGTGCGTGCAGCTCCAGGACCTGATGTTCAGGACATCAGTACAAGTCTTGGATTATATTTGTCCGGTCGTGTGACTGAGAGAAAAACCAGCATGAAACCAGGTCCAGGTTTCTGTTTCTGCACAAGCTCACATAATGTCTGCTGAGGAAGAAGAAGAAGAAGAAGAAGAAGAAGAAGAAGAAGAAGAAGAAGAAGAAGAAGAAGAAGACAATTTCACCTCTGCCTGTTTGTCTCAGAGCATCAAACCTCTGATGAGCTTTTTCCTCGTGTTTGTTTCCTGAGCAGCTCTGACTGATTTTGTTGAAGTTAAAGCTCTGAAACTTTCTCTCTAAACACAAAAAGCGTTTTTCTCTCAAATTTTCTTCACAAATGTGTTTAAATCCGTGTCAGTGTCCAGATCATCCCTCCACCTGACAGGTGTGGCACGTCCAGGTGTTGATTACACTGCATGGTAACTGCACAGGTGAGCCTCAGGCTGCTCACAATCGCTGGGCCGAACCGAACCGAAATGAGACAGTCTGGTCCTGCTGTTCCCGCCTTTACCATTGTGTCGGAAAGTGTGGCTCCTGTCGCCTAGCAACCTTGACAACATTTTACTTTTTTCACAGGCCCTTGGTTTTAACGGTTAGCTGTTGAACTTCTACATTTAACAGTGAAATCCTCAGGCTCTCTGTCTGTGTTCTTTGCTGCCATAATTATTTTCATTACCGGCTCGCAATGAATCTTGGGATATGTTGGACTACGAAGGATCCACCTGTTGAAAAGAAGGACACATTTAAAGGAGCCTTTGAAATGAGACAGCCTGGTCACTGTGACACAATCGGTCTTCAAACGCAGCCTCTGAATTGGGACAGAGCTAATAAAAGGCCCTTTTAAAATGTGCAGTTTTATTTTGAAAATATAATTTATTAGGTGCTGAACTGTGAGACTTGTGCTACAGATGTGCATCTGTTTTTTGGGGGGGTTAGTATCTGGTGTGACCATGTGCCTCATGTGGTGCGACACAGTTGGTCAGGTGGTTGATTGTGGCTCCTCGTCAGTGACTCTGTGAAGTTTCTGGATGTTGACAGGAAGTGCATCACACTGTCACACACATAGATCCAGATCATCTAGAACCTGCTCAGTGGCTCACATGTCTGGTGCAAGAACTGGGATGGTGTAAACTTTCAGTGATTGTGTCTGTCATGCTGCAACATGGCGGCAGATGAATGACACGACACTGGGCCTCAGGATCTGTGGGTGAGTTGTAGATCTTTTATTTCAAATCATGGAAAATGGGAGTAAAAACAAAAGTGTAGTTTGTTCTCCACATTAAAACTGACTCTGAGGACTGAACGTCTGTCGTCAGGAATCTCAGCAGGAGTGAGTGCTCTCTTTCCAATAAAACATCATTTGTCCCGTCCCAGTATCTCCAGCATTAGATCCAGATCTCCTCTAAACGGCATCCAGCTCCACCTGGATGCCGTTCAGTGACGAGTGTGTGAGGCTGTGTTCATGTTCCAGTGAAGTCCTGCAGTTTAGATAAAGGTTTAACCTCAGGTCATCAAGTTTAAAGTCTCTGACCCGCTCGTCAAGCTGTGATCTGAGCGACGATGCTCCCATGATGCATCAGTCTATAAACCACTTCAGCTGCACTGTAAAACACATTCAGAATGTGTGTGTGTGTGTGTGTGTGTGTGTGTGTGGAATTTCCATGTGCAGCAGCTCATTAAACCATTAAGAAACCACACTGAGGCTGATGAAGCAGAGGAAGAGCAGAGAACACAACTGCTGCTGAGGAGGATGATGGTGATAATGATGATGATGATGATGATGATGGTGATGATGATGATGATGATGATGGTGATGATGATGATAATGGTGATGATGATGATAGTGATGATGATGATGGTGATGATGATGGTGATGATGATGCTAGTGATGATGGTGATGATGATGGTGATGATGGTGGTGATGATAGTGATGATGGTGATGATGGTGATGATGATGGTGATGATGAAGGTGATGATGGTGATGAGGATGATGATGATGGTGATGGTGATGGTGATGATGATGGTGGTGATGATAGTGATGATGATGATGAAGGGGATGATGATGGTGATGATGAAGGTGATGATGGTGATGAGGATGATGATGATGGTGATGGTGATGGTGATGATGATGATGATGATGATAGTGATGATGATGATGGTGATGATGAAGGTGATGATGATGATGATGATGATGGTGATGATGATGGTGATGATGAAGGTGATGATGATGATGATGATAGTGATGATGATGATGGTGATGATGAAGGTGATGATGATGATGATAGTGATGATGGTGATGGTGATGATGATGGTGATGATGATGGTGATGATGAAGGTGATGATGATGATGATGATGATGATGATGATGATGATATAGAAACATACATAAATGTCACATGACTTAGATACTTCCTGGGTGAAGTCACTGCGAGGACAACTCGCTCTGACACCTGTGTCCCGACAGGTGGATCCTTCGTGGGCCAACACATCCCAAGATATGCGAGCCAGAAATGAAAATAAAGTACCAGTTCAAACTCATTTGAACAGCTAACGGTACAACTGTTAAAATCAAGGGCCTTAAAACCTCAAGTTTATGTGAAAAGAAGTTATGTGTTGTTATGGTTGCTAGGCGACAGGAGATGCACTTTGTGACGCCACAGTTAGGGCGGGAACAGCTGGTGACGCAAAGCGAAAATCCTCCGTAGACCAGACTGTCTCATTTCAGTTTTAACTCTGTGGACCGCGTCCTCTGAAGGATGCAGCCCCTGAATTAGGACACAGCTTGTATCTCTTTTTCAAAGGTCAAAGGTCAGAGGTCAGCTCCATGGCGTCAGTGCTTTTAGAAAATGTCTGTGCTGCCATATTTAGATTCATTCATTGTTACATCTGAGACTGTTGCTGAATGTCATCAGTTTGGTTCATCATCAGTTTCTGAACTCATCAAATCCTACTTCAAACTCTGGTGATGTCATCGTGAAGAAGCGAG